CCCAATAAACTCACAAGTCCACCAAGCTAGACTGAAGTGGAATTGTTAGCTTGGTCTGTCACTGGTGCCCTTTGGGTGAGCAGACACCTGTTCACGTGAGCCTGGAATGTGTATTTTGTGTTTGGCAGTTGCATTTAATAGGAGTTAGTGAGTTTGTCTTTCCATGTTTGTTATTATTCTGAATTGTCTTCTTTTTGGGGATTCATGGAGGATTATTTCCTCCCTAATTAAAAATGTTGTCTGACTGGCTCTTTCAGGCTATGAACTGACTGGCTTAGCCAGAGGTGGGGAACAGCTGGCTAAACTAAAGAGGAATTATGCCAAAGCAGTGGAACTACTGGTGGAACTGGCTTCACTGCAGGTGTGTGGCGGCTAGAACTCTGCAGCGTGGCCTGACAGTCACGTGGGCAGTCAGGGTTTGTGGTGGAGCACACTCAACTCAGCTGAGCCTGGTGAAACACGCCTGTGAGCTGCCCGCTGGAGTGGTGGCTTCTGCTCACCCGCCTTTGCTCTTTGTTAATGAAGTGTATGTGCAGTGGTGCACCTGCACTCCGCTAGACGGGAACAGCAGGGGTCGGTACTGGAGTTAATGCACATGAAGCATGGTCCATGTGTGTGGCCAGTCACTGCATATCTAGGTTAGGAGTGAATGAATGCTTGTCTATGGAAGCAGCATTCATTCTATAGAAATCTCACATGAATTCTGTTTCTAAGGCAGGCTGCAAAGTTAGTTGTGTTTGGGTTCCCAAATGTTTTCTGTAAGTGCAGTCTGAGTCGGGTCAAGAGAACAGGCATGACTGACTATGGAGACGTGCGTTGTTAATAATTTGTCCCTTTATTTTAGACTTCCTTTGTTACTCTGGATGAAGCCATCAAGATAACCAACAGGCGTGTAAATGCCATTGAACATGGTGAGTCCAAGCTGCTGGGAGGTGCTTTGTTCATCCCCGCCCCGCCCCGCCCACTTGTTAGGCAGCTGCTAGTACTCAGGCCCAGCATTCCAGGTTGAGAGGTGAGATGTGCCCCTGCCAGTGTAGAGAGAAATGTGTCTGGCAGTATGAAAACATGGGTGCATCCTGAGGGAGTTCCAGGTCTTGGAATGCCATGCACTTCTGCTCATTCATGCAGTTAGTAAAGTTCTGTTCCTTATGAGCCTCGGTGCTTTCTTAACTTCTGTCCATTGGGGGAGATAACTGTTTTGTTTTGTTTTTAAACACATTAAATCTTTAAATCTCCCCTTCAGGCTATTCTTGTTTCATTTTGCTACGTTTATTTTCTATCTTTTATGCCACTATTTTAAAAATACAACCATGTTAACAATGTTCATGGCTGAAGAACTCAGTTTCCAGGAAAGAAATGTTTCTTCAACCTTAGGTAAGAAAGGAGCAAAGAAAATCCCTTCAGCTGGTGCCCTGACAGTATTAGCTCATCTAAAACTGTGTCTGGCCACGTTACTTGGTGGTGCCTTTGTCCAGGCTAGGCAAGTGTTGTACCACTGAGCTACACCATCCCCAGAAACACAGTTCTTGTCTGCTTTCCAGTGTCAGTCTTTGTCTCTGAACTCCATCAAAACACAATGGGTAAGGCTAATAGTTCTCAACTTCAGGAGGATAAGAACATCTGTGGAAAGCAGAGCTGAGTGACATACAGACACAACGATCCCAGCACTCTCTCCTTTCCGTTTTTAACCATGGTGTTAGCCGGGCGATGGTGGCGCACGCCTTTAATCCCAGCACTCAGGAGGCAGAGGCAGGCGGATCTCTGAGTTCAAGGCCAGCCTGGGCTACAGAGTGAATTCTAGGAAAGATGCAAAACTACACAGAGAAACCCTGTCTTGGAAAAAAACAAAAACAAAAACCAAACAAACCATGGTGTTCTAGTGTATTTAAGCTAACATCCAGCTTATTGTGACCTGTTCAGGTAGACTTAGTAGTATCTAGCGTTAGATCTGTTTGGGCCCAATCTTGGTATCTGTATGTAGAAAGATCCTGGAAGGGCACATGCCAAAATAATGACAAGGTGATTTTATTTGCCTGGATTATATCTCTTTTTTAATTCTTTTCCAAGTTCTCTTCATTAAGTATACATTATTTCTACAATTAGAAAATAGTAAGTACTGTACCGCTAAATATTGGTAATTTTTTGAAAAGGCATTTAAGTTCTCACATATGTGTATTTTTAAACCCTAGTTATCATCCCCCGGATTGAACGCACCCTTGCCTATATCATCACAGAGCTGGATGAGAGAGAGCGAGAAGAATTCTACAGGTTTGTTGGTTTTTTTCCCCCATACACTAGTCTCAGTTTGCTTAGTGACTAATTTACTTAACGTTCTTTTGAATAAACAGTTCATTTTATTCTGTTAAATAAAAACAAGAAATAAATGTTGGGCATATGGTGTTTGCTTAAAATCCCAGAACTCAGAAGGCAAGACTATGCTTAAGGCTAGCCTGGGCTATATCGGAATATATACTCTGAGACAGTAAGACTGAAAGAAGAAATAACAGTTGTCCCCGTTACCTTGGTCTTCCATTTCAGTTTACTGTGGTTAACTGCAGTTCACAAATATTAAATGGAAGGGGAAAGACCTAGTGTGTAGGTTTTCAGTTGTGTGCTCTTCAAGTAGCGCGAGGTGGAGGTGCTGTGCTATGGATGAAGCATCATTTCAGCCAACACACCACACCCACCCTGTGCACCCACTACCTGCCGTCTGTCCCTTGGTAGCTGTCATGTTACAGTGGCTCTTGTGTTCACAGAGGCTGTGTCTCCTTTAAGGAAGGAGGTGAAAGCTTTTGACTTAAAAATGTGTTATTCCCTCACTGTACTTAATTTTTAGATTCAACTTTATCGATTTTTCACACTTGCCTTAGTATACAGAGACAGCACTGAGGCACTAAGGGCTGACTGTGCATGAAGGAGGCATACTATACAACATGGTTTCAGATCTATGGGTCATGTAGTGTCTCCAGTGCAGAGTGACAACTGTATTTCCAAAGGCTTGGAGATCGGTGTCATGTTCTGCACATAGATCAAACATGACAGCTCCAAAAATTTATGCCTTTCAGAAAAACTAGAAGATTATTCTTTAAAACGGAGTAGTGATTGGGTTGGATGTCTCCTCTGTAAAACCCGAGATGAGAAATGAATCAAGCTAGCCACTCAGTTCAGCGCACGTTGAATACGTGCAGGTGGCAGAAAGTACTTGGGCATTCCCAACTCAAGAATCACACCACTAGAGAATTAGCACAGTACATGGTGAGGGACATGCCCACAGCTGTTCGTGGAGAGAAGAGCAGTAGTGGCGAATACTAACCAGAGGGGCCGTGCTCTAAGTTTGCACAAGTGGAGGGTGGGTGAGAGCAGTGTTTAGGAGCATGCGTGAAGCAGCTCGGTGTGACGTAGAATTGTAGTTACCATTCGTGTTCAGGGTTGTAGTGATCCAAAAATTTTGAAAACAGAATGCTCAGAATCTGTCCCATTACAGGATGGGTTTCAAGTTTTACTTAATGTCGGCTAGGGTGTCTGCAATCAGATATTAATAGGATCTCCCCTCAGACATGTTAAGATGGCTTTTCAGTGACAGAAAAAGAAAGCCAGACTCTAGTTTTCCCGAGTGTACTGCCTAGTTACAGAACCTGCAGACATTCACGTTCCTTGGCACTGAAACAGCACTCAGAAGTCTCCTTCCTGCAGGCTAAAGAAAATACAGGAGAAGAAAAAGATTATCAAGGAAAAATTTGAGAAGGAGTTGGAGCAGCGGCGAGCAGCTGGAGAAGTGATGGAACCTGCCAACCTGCTGGCTGAGGAGAAGGACGAGGACCTGCTGTTTGAGTAACAGCCTTCGCCCCCTTCAGACCCAGCTCCGTTTTAGCTCAGTATGTAGGTTTGGTATGTGTGGGTATTTATTTTGGCATAACAATTTCCCTGGCTATAGGATTAAGGATGCCCTGTGAGACCATTTCTCCTGCTCAGAATTCAGCAACCACTTGTCACAGTTGAATGAGATTGCACAACATGCTCAGCAACTTACATCATTTCCTCTGTGAGAGTCACACGATTCTATTTAAGGAGTTTCATTGGTACCTGCAAACATTTATGGTCTCAGCCAACTGCTGCGAGCAGCCTTCGTTCCTACTCACTTGCAAACCTTGTCGCTGTTGTCCGTGAGTTCGCAGCCACTGTTGTGTTACTGTGGTCTCCTCAGCTCTACATCTATTTTTCTTTGCACGATAAGTCTGCCTGTAATGGAAGCAGTTCTGCCCATTTCAATGTGACTTACGAACAGAGTAAAATGACTTAAAAAACATGTTGTTTCTTTTTCTTTTTACTAAGAATAGTGGTTATGTCCTTGTTTCAGATCAGTGACCTTATTGCCACTCACAGCTTTTACCAAAGGCATGTAGCTATCCCTATCTCAGTGTGTTACTAGGTTTATCTGAGATAGTTACTGCATTTTGGAGTAAGTAACTGCCAGTGCTAAGCAGGCTCCTAACACGTCTCTCCTAAGAACGATACTAATCCCTACTTTGGACTGACCAGATAACTTTGTATGTTTTAGAAGCAATAGCATTTTGCTGTCTTTTATGAAGATGAGATGCCAAAGTGGACAGACCAGGTAGTGCCTGCCTTGAGTTTCCAGTACTGTTTGATTTGGCATGATTACTGTGATTACTCAGACTGCAATGCAACCAGTTCCAGGCATTCTGGGCTTGACTGAGCATGACACAGTTATGGGAATGACACTAGCATTAATATATTATGATAACTGCCATCACAAGGTAGACTTTTTTTTTTTTTTTTTTTT